ATATTACCCTTCCTATAGGAATATCTTCTTTTTAAAAGAAAGAAAAAAAAAAATCAGTTCTACGAACATTTGAAATAATTAATTCATCCACAAAAAATTAATTTACGCACATAGTTACAAACAAAAACATTAGTGCAAAAATATAAAATAAATTCCAGTTTTAAATTTAGCCACAATTATTGGAAATGTATTTCTTAAATTAATTGTGACTATGAGGAAATAATCAAGGGTCTTCTTCCTCTTTTTTTTCTTTTTTTAAATAATCATTTTGACTCTTTGCACAAATCCTCAATGTCCAATACATGTCAGCTTAAAATATTTCATGTGGTTTTATTTGTATGTAGCGATCAGTATCCTTGTGTTTTCCCATTTTATTTGTATATATATATTTTATTTTAGATTTTGCTAATGAAATCTTTCCTAAATGAATTTTGTCTGCGTCTGCTAAAAGATTATGCATTAATATTATTTACAATCCATTATTTCAGATTTTTTACATTAATACCCAAATTATTGTTTGTCTCTAATATATATATATATATATATATATAGAGGGAGAGAGAGAGACAGACAGATAGAGATAAAGAGAAATATAGATAGATAGATAGATAGTGAGAGAGATAGATAGAAAGAGAGAGAGATAGAGAGATAAATATAGATAAATAGATAGAGAGATTACTGATTACAGATAGATGGATGGATATACAGATAGACAGACACTTATGCTCAGCTTGTCCTTATTAATCCAATAATGAAAAAAGCACTTAAATAAGTGCTTTTTTCATTATTGAATTGGCCAAAGTTCTATTTTTTCAGCATAATCTTATTTGTCACTGCACTTAATTCCGTGGTGAATGTTTCAGATCAAAATTCAAGTAATAATCACTCTTTAAGCCACAAAAGTATTTATCTACCTTCGGATAGACAGGTAGGTAGAGTGTAGACATAGGAATTATTAACACAGTATGATGATTGTCATTTTAACGCTTCAAGTGATCTTCATGTAGTACTGATCTCTGTTTTTGTCTTTTTTAATCATTTCACTCTAAGCAAGGCAATAAAGCTACTAAGACGCAAAGGCGTTACCGAACGTGAAAGAAAACATTCGGGAGCTAGGACAATAACAAAAATAAGAATTAAGACAAAAGATAAACGATTGACACGTTTAAAAAAATGCTCCATTTCCAATATTAAGCAATCACCCCACATAAAAAATAGCAAAGTTTAAACAATATGCAATGGAGGAATGGCTTGTTGGAACAAATTTTATGAAAATGCTGATTTTTATAATATATATTTAAAAATCTGGCACAAATTTTTTCAAAGACATCTGTGTGCTACAATTCCATTCAAAACGTTCTTCAAAGGTTTTAGCAAGCCCCTGTGAAATTAATTTTTGTAATGCACCCACCCTATGAAGTGTCCCAAAATATACCATCGTCATATGCTGAAACATACCAGTAACCAATACAGAAAAAAGTGACTTGACCCAAAGTGTTGTGAATTCAATCCCTGGCCGCAGGTGAGTTATCAAGAGGAATTAACTAAAATAGAGATATCCAAAGGTATGGCAGGTGGAATTAGAACAATCTACCTCTGTGGACTAAATAAAGGGTTCGGTTTGAAATTCCAACAAATATCACCTGAAGATGGCCGGAGCGTACAATGGTCGAAACATCGTGGATGTGGTAATAAAGTCAAAGATAGAAATAGTTATAATACCTCATCTCAGAAATATAGATAGGTGAAGAATTATGAAATTCAAGAATTATGCTGGCATCATTTAAATTTTGAATTTCAATGTATTATGTTATCCAGTACCTTCAACTGGTCATACTTTTGGTATTATTTCACTATTACATCTGACTAATACTTGACTATTATCCAGTGCTCTTTAAGTAGTCAACTGGATAGTGATGGTGAAGTAAGGTCGAAATTGATCATGCGCATTAGGTCAATAAGGGTGACAGGTAACAGTAAAAATTCACCATATATTTTACTATAATAAGTCCATATATATATATATATATATATATATATATATATATGTGTGTGTGTGTGTTTGTGTGTGTGTGTGTGTGTGTGTGTTTTGAACAATAAAAAATATTAAAATATTAAAATCAGACACACTGGGCTGTATATTAATAGTCTTTCGTTGTTATTATTTCAGTTAGATTCCTTGACTAGTTTCAGCCAACATAAGGAGAAAAAAAAATTCTGCACTACAGAAATGAATGACTTAGAGAAAATGAAATTTATCTGTAGTTTTCATTTGTTTTTTTAATTTTTTTAACATGAATTTTGGTCAGTCCTTTTGTTGGTCAAACAATCTATTTCAAGTTGTTATTTAAGATAAGAGCTGGATGGATTCATGCTGCTCTTAATTCCCTTGGTCATTTTGACAGTTTTATTGGTTCTGGGAAAGGGGATGTGTCTCTGTTAAGTGTGTGTGTTATTTGGTTCTTAGGTAGTGAGTGAGTATGATGTGTGTAAGTGTATATATTGCATGGGTGAGAAATGTGAGTGTATATATATATATACACACACACACACACACACACACATACATATATATATATATATATATATATATATATATATATATATATATATATATGGTTTATTTTCCACCACACAGAAGGATGCTGAGAATACCATGGAATGAACATGTGAGCAACAACGAACTTTTAGAGAAAATGGAAACCAAAAGGACACTTATACATAACATCGGAAAGAGTTAAAATTTTAAGGAGACAAGTAGAAAAATTGGTTGGGAAATTTGACACTCCATATTGAAGGCAATGGGGACAGAGGAAACAATGCATAACCTACCTAACAAGCTTATGCAAATGGTAGGCAGAATAGGGATTAGGAGATATAGCAAAAACACTTTACTAGGGATACAAAGGATAGGAAGTTGGGGAGATCGCCTACGTCCTGAATGTTGCTACATGCCTTACTTCTTGCCTATCTCACACTGTGAATTTTTTCTAAGCTCTATACTAAACATTAAATCTGTTACGAAGAAAGAACTAAACAAAATGAACACAAAACGATCAGCTTTAAAAAGGACTCATAACTGGAAAAACCGAATGAAAAAAGAATGTTAACAATGAATACTTTTTCACACCCAACCCAGTTCTGCGGAATCAGAATCAACGTTGAGTTTAAGCAAGCGAATGAGCCAATTGGAGTAAAGTGCCATGCAGATTTAAATTTTTCCCCACTTGTGACGAATGCAGCTATCGATTTTTTTTGCATGCTAGCATGCTAGTTAACATTCGTGTCAGTCAGCTGTTGGCTCTCACGCTGGCCAATAGAATCTTCCTGCCTATTCGTGGCAGCCAGCTATTGGCTCTCACTCTGGCCAGTACAAACTACATGAAAAGTGCCGTAGAAGTATGAAAAAATCGATTATTTCCACTATCGATGGGAGTTGGGAAATGCAAAGTCGGTCTTGGCCTTCCCGCTAACTTGGAGCATGTGCATGTAAATTTTGGTGCAAATCCGTCGAAAATTGTGGCCGTGCATTCGTCACACACACACACACTGCCTTTTATAGATAGAGATTCTTGTCTTTATTCTCGTTTGTAAGTTGAGAGATCCACATTAAACGAGTTTCTGCTGAAAACGCTTTCATCCACTATTTTTGTACGGATCAGGTAGAATGTAGAAGATATATTTGAGTTCATATGTGTATATTTTCAGCTTTACCTACCATCGTCAATTTAGGACGGATAAAAAAAATTATTACAAACAATTTTCGACATTTTCATTGTTAGCTCCTCATACCAATTAATTTCAATAACCAGAGAAACATAATATTCGATCTTTTTTCTTTCTTGCAAACATCACAAGAACATAGCCACATTCAAGTTAGGCTTAGAGTAAAATGAACCTGGTTGAATTACACCATTGAAAGACAATGGAGCAACTCCCGTGGAACTGGTAGTTGCATCTTCTATTGCAGCGGAAAACTCTTCAATGTCTAAAGAACGATCTGTCACATCAGAAGGGAAAAAATCATCATGGTGAAGATGTTCCTGTCTAAACGATAAATACCATTTACCTTAAACAAGACGAGATGTTAGAAGTCATGGCTCGAAGAAAATTTTTTTCTTGCTAATCAAAGAAATTCATAAATTGTCAACGTTCCTCCTAGCTTTTTTTTATCCATGCATTAGTAGGAAGAGTTATAATAATTCTTGAAAAGCCCCCAAAACAGCCCTATCAAGAGGACACATCTTGTGTGAGTAGTAAGAGGGGAAAACAGCAATACCATACCATTTTTTTTTTCAAGCATTTTCAATGATTTCTACACTGATGAAACTCATGATTGCCAAAAATTAACAGCACATTACTTTCTGGATTGCAAAAAAAAAATTGCTTCAGAAAAATTATTAAACTTTGTTACTGTCATCCACAATGACAGATGTGAGGGCCCAGTGGAACCCATTTTCTTTTTTTAATCATTTCATCCCAAGCAAGACAATAAAGCCGCTAAGAAGCAAGTAGTTACCGAGTGAGAAAGAATATGAGAAAAAGAAATTATTAAGGAGAAAGAACAATGAAAGAACAAAAATTAAGACAGAAGATAACGATTGGCACATTGCATTTGTTTTTATGAAGATCAAAGTGGATTCGAAAGCAAGAAGCTAAACAGATTTCCACAAGCGAGAAGTGGGAGAGAAGAAACTGTTAGCATAGAACTTACGGTTACATCTAGCCATTTCGCATGTAAAATGTTAAGACCTTACCTTAAAATGAACACGAGAGAAAGCAAAACATAAGAGGAACAGTGTTTTTTGTAATATATACATCTTTTACATCTATTAATATAGATGTTACATCTAGCCATTTCAAGTGTAAAAGGATGTGACTTTGCCTTAAAATGAACATTAGAGAAAACAAAACATAAGCGGAACAGTGTTTCCTGTAATACTGAAAGCACAGTAAACCGCCGCTAATTGATCTCCCTCCGCTGATACTATCGCACCAACATGTTTGACACCCGTCTTTTTTTAGCGACAATTTTTCTTGTCCACTGCATTGTCGTAATCCATTTTCGTCGACATTCCAGATCTTATCTGGAGAGAACCCATAGCTCTCAAGAAGATTGTCATAGTGAGTTAAAAAATAAAAAAAAGGAAGAGGGCCACGTTTTGTCGACTAAAGTTGGTTGCACAACCCAGAGAGGAAGCCTCAGGTACCCTCGATGGAATTTTTCCATGACTCTTAAGAATATGTTGCAACCAATCTTTACTTGAAATTTTATTCTCTAGCCAAGATTGTGGAAGCAGCAGGCAAAGTTGACTCACATAATCAAATACCAAACCCTTTATTTCATTTAGGCTCAGTACAAAATAGCGGTTTGATGCCTTGATAATATATTGTACCAAGCGTTTCTCCTTACCTGGTTGATAAACTTTCCGACTATTAAAATAACCACATTGGTCTATTTTCACTTCCGCCTCATCTTTGCAACCAATCTGTGCCTGAATTTTTATTCTCTAACCAAGAATTTGGATGCTTCACTAAATTTGACTCATATATTCAGATGAAAAATCCTAATTTCAATTGAATATAAGTTAAGAATGTTATTTTACCATAACTCCCTTATATGGTTTAAAAATTCTCCAATTATTTATAACTAGCAGGAGAGCCCGGCGTTGCCCGGGGATGTAACAGTAAGAGATAGATCAAGTATCGACCATCATAAAGACTGAAAAATAAAATTGATAAAGATTATTGTTTAAGGTTGACGGACACGCATATCTTAATTATTATTTTTTTTTTGTTTTTTGTTTTTTTACGAATTGGTCAAACCCAAACCTAAACAAAAACATTGTTTTCAATCGTTATGAGTCTACCGATTGAATAGAATTTTATTATAAACAATTGTCTTGTAAATGGAATTTTTAAAGCATTCTGAATGTAAAAATAAAGAAAAAAAGTATGCAAGACAATAAGAAACACTACCTGCCCAAAAAAGTGAAGTTTTGTTGAAATCGGTTGAAAAATGTAGGAAATCCGATCCCATATATAAATGAACACACACACACACAAACAACCTGGGTTTTATAATAAGTATAACTCGATATGAGTTGTCCGCCTTTCATTCTCGCGACAGCGATGCCTGTCAATCGTGTTTTCAAATTGATTTCGTGCAAAAACAATTGTGTTTTTCCCATTTTTGGCGCTGTCAGAACCACCGCAAGGTAATTTTACGCAGTCCTGTGAAGTTTTGTTGAAATCGGTTGAAAAATGTAAGAAATCATATCCAATATATAAACGTACAGACACACACACACAATCTGCGTTTTATAATAAGTAAGATATCCATACTGCTCTATTTTCACTTCCATTGCAGGCTAGACATATTTCAGGTCGTAACGTTGAAGGTTAAGATGAAGTATTTTAAACTTATTTGCCACTGTCCAGCATGGCTTTTTTTTATCAGTTATATCTTTGTGAGTCAACCCACGATCAGTTTTTTTTCTTTTTTCGTTAAAGATCTTGTTAGTGGTACAACATTTTATTATAGCGATAAACACAGACATAAATAAAAATTCTAGCACAGAAAAATTACAACTACCATAGTTGGTACGAAAAATTTATTTTTTGAACCAAATACCGTTTTTTTTTTTAATTAAGTCTGTTTTTATTGTCTATTATAGTTATGCCTCTCTCTCTCTCTCTCTCTCTCTCTCTCTCTCTCTCTCTCTCTCTCTCTATTTAAAAAGCATTTTAGTGTTTTTTTCTACTCGTAAGACATACAATATTTCTTGTAAATTTCATTGATTCGCTTTCTGTGGCTAATCAACCCTTTTCAGGTTATTTAAAGCCAGAAAATATTTTTAGATTGTAAGAATTTTTTTTTTTTAGATAATAATGGTTTAGTGGTACAAGTTTTGATAAATTAACCCATAGCATGGGGAAGAAGAGGTGGATTTATACCTTTCCCCAGGGTATTCGCGTGTAAATGAATATAACGAACTCCACAGAAATTGGAACTCTGCTCTCCAATTAACAATTCTGAGCCATTAACCATTACATCACCCGCACATCCAAGCTTACAGCACCTGGTATTACTAAGCAGTCATCGATCTAGGTACTGGCCAGGATCAAGGTTGCTTAACTTCGGTGATCGTACGCGAACTGGTGATTGAACATGATGCGGCCATAAATAAATAACTAGTCTCAAATAAGTATCTCATTTGAATTACCCCCTCATTTCATGCAAGAATTGCAATGGACATCGCCCTTCAACAAGCGCCAATAATTCCCTAAAAATGGAAAATAACGTCTTCTACTCTAAAAAGAAAAGTACTGTTTAATAAACCCATGTGTGTTTATTAAATGAAATATAGTATTTAAGTATTTATTTAGAAGACGGCTGAGAATATAAGTGCTAATAAATGTTTTCGTGCAAACATGGCTGGCACGTCTTAAACCCCAACCGGGAAGGGCCGCGTTTTTCGGACTTTGTTATGGCACCTGCCATTTTTCAGCGCAGTTTTATAGCTATCCGCCATTTTTAAATTATTTTTTTAACTGACGTTATATTGTCAGTCATCAACTAATAATATACATCATGTATCTGCATGGCCGGCACGGTGCATACTACGCAGGAACCCCCGGGTGGTTGGAGCCCCAAAGGGGTTAGTTTCAGCACCATTTTTTTTTTTTTTTGCACTTTTTACTTTTATTCTACCTTTTTTTTTTATAAGCATTTCACCCCAAGCAAGGCGGGAAGCCACTAGCATGCAAGGGGTTACAGAGAGTTGGAGCGAGAGCAAAGAGGAGTGATAGAGGAAAGGATGAAGAGAAGGATATGGGATAGATCAAGGCAACTGGAGATGTCTATTGACATTACATTTCAATAGTTGGAGATTATAGCTATCAGGGAAACAGGAAAAGGGGAGGGAGTTTCACAGGTGAGAGGTGTGAGATATGAAGCTATTGGGGCAGAAGAGACGGCTACATTTAACAGTTTCGACAGTGAAAGGGTGAGAGTGGGATGCCAGCTTCGTAGGACGCTTGAATTCATGAAGCCTGGGAACCAGCGAAAGCAGCTCATCGGAGCAGTTACCATGAAAGTATTTGTAAAAAAAGACAGAGAGAGGCGACGGCACCTCTGTGAGAGAGCGTCTGCAGACGAGATACCAGATCAGGGCCAATTGCATTGCATATCCGTCTCTGGATCTTATCAAGAACCCCGAGGCAAACAGAAGGCGCTCCAGACCATATATGGCAGCAATACTCCATGCAGGAGCGAATGGTTGATTTGTAGATTTGAAGGATCGATTCCAGGGAGAAAATTTTCCTAGCGCGGCACAGGGAGCCAACTTTCCTTGCGGTGGACGAAGTAATTGACTCAATGTATTTGTTCCATCTTTGGTCAGCAGACAATGTGAGCCTAGGGCCAGTGCTTACTAACCCAAACCTTTCAACTGTTTAGGGGCCCCTGCCTAATGGGGACGGTTGACAGGTGCTAATTTTAGTAGCGCTTAAAGCGTAATTTTCTTAAACAATTCTTTTAGAGAAAATTAAGAGGGTAATATATCTCGGTAAAATAACTTTATTTATTCCGAGATCATCCACTAAGAAGGCTCTCTGATTTTTTAAAGTAATACTAAGCACAAGTCGACGGCTAGAAATTAAAATAAAATTTCTAGTCACCAATTTTTTTTTTTTTTACATTTCTAGAAAGATAAAACCAAGAAAATGATTGCCTAAAAATTTAAAATATCTACAGATTTCAACACATGAACAATTTTCCCGAAAACTGAAATACTGTTTTTTAAAACAAATTTTTAAGTCAGTCCCAATTCTATTGTGTTGTGATCTTTTTGTATAACTTTTTTTTTCCCAGCGGAAAGTGGAAGTTGGGTAAGGATGGTCAACACTTTTTTTCCTAGACCTAGCTAATCAGATTCACGACCCATATACTCATTAGAATTTGCTCATTCACCACAAAAATTCATCTGTCATTATTCAATACTACATATACCACAAAACCACAAATTCTCAGGAAACCTACAAAAACCTCCATGACATAAAAATTTAATTATGTACAAACAGTTAAAATATCTCTTCTTCTTTTTTTTTTCCTTTTCATTTTTCTTTCTTAGGAAAATATATTAAAATATATGCTCATGAAATGAGTTGAGGGGTGGGGGTGGAATGAACCCAGAAAACGAAACTAAAAAACACAACAAAGCATTCAAACTAAACAGAACAGACGTCAGTCGGACCCAATCACCTAACGAAATAAAAATAGCATTTTCTGCTATTTTATTTTTAGTTTGAAGTAAAGTTTAGTTTGAAGACACATAATATCAACGTGGAAAAGTACCCTCTCGAGTGGTATACACATTCTGATACTTAATGGTCACAGGGATCCGTCCCAGAGCTGGTAGTATCACAGCTCAGACCAGCGGCCCGAGTGAAAAAAAACTCGGGTCCTCACGTTAAAAACCGACCTTGTGTCACAACCTGACTCGGTGGGGGGGGGGTCGGTTTGTCAAGTAAATCTCTGCATAATATCAATGCGTTTCATCGTCATATTTTTATACGAGAAATATCTTGGTAAAGGAACACTTAAATTTTGATTTACATAAATTAAGATATGTTTAAAACATGCATACATTAAAAATTAGTCTCATTTATTATAACGTCGCTTTTTATAAGCAAGTAGAAAAGGCAGAGGATCATTTTTTATCTCGTTAATTTCACGTTTAAATAGTCTCGTCAGACTGAGACTTTCATGTGGCTGTCAAACATGGCGCCAAACCCGTTCAGAATTATCTAAACTCTCAGCTGTATACAACCGCTTTCTAAGATCGATGATTAAAATGGCTTTGAGCGAGTGAAGTCTATGGGTTTCGGCAAAGACCACACTTCTTCGAACCTTGTGGATTGGTACTACAGAATCACAAAGAACTGTACGAATAACAGAAACCACACGACTTGTGGACTTTCAACAACGGTAAGAGCGAAAATGGATAGCACATGTAACTCGGAGAGAAAGTAAGGACATAATTATGATGTTGACGTTCTACACTATTAGAAATGAAAGGTTAAGAAGGAAACCTATATCAACAATCGGAAGAACGATAACAGCTACTGAACTTGAGAAACTTATTTTCCTGAAAAAATTGTTTTAGAGTAAGATTTTATAAATATAACCGATAGAAGTACTGTCTGCTCGGTCAATGAATGTCGAATGTTTCTTTATAATGAAATGGTTAATATTACCATTAGTTTTATATTCAGAAAGTATTGACTATTAATAAAATGCAGAACAACACAAAGTTTTGGCAAATCACTAGACGCTCTAATTAACTCTGAAATGGTTAAGCATCTCACCTCACATGGTCTTCTTTCAGATATGCAATGTATCTTTCGCTTCTCTGGGTCAAGTGTTCATATATTTACGATTATTACTGAAAGATGCTATCAAGCTTTAGATAAGAATGGTAAAGCTCAGCCTGTTGCTTTAAATATCTCGTGTGACATACTGGTCTTCACAAATTGAAAGATTATGATATTTCTGGGCGAATTTTTGAACTGATTCAATCACGAAATGAAAGTTGTCTTGAACGGTCATACTTCTAGATCGTTTTTGCATTAATGAAGGAATTTCCCAGGGTTTGATCCTTGGACCTACGTTGTTCCAAATTTTCATGAACGACTATCATGATGTCATCAGTTCCCAACTCGATATCTATACTGATAACATAACTGTTTACTCCTGTCTTAATAGTAAGTCTGATCTGATATGGTCAAATTAGCAGCTGATCTAAAAAAAAAAAAAAAAGACCTATAATCTGTTGTTAACTGGGGCAATAAATGGCATGTTAATTTTAATGGCTCCAAAACGAAACTGCTCTTTTTAATCATCTGAGATAATCCTTTTTATCTTCCATCAGCACGACTAATGCTAAACTCCAGACGAGTGACTCACTGAGCCTTCTCGGGCTAACGTTTTCTACTGATATGAACCCTTTTTGCCTTCCATCACTATGGATGATGCTAACCGCTAGGAAAATGACTACTTGCACCTTTTCATGCTAATGTTTTCTGCTGATATGTAGTGGAAAGATTATATTAAATAAATCGTTAGGTCTGCTAGTAAGAAAGTTGGTTCACTGTGTTGTGCAATACAATTTTTCTCGCCACAATCTATCTTACACATTTAAAAGTCTACCATCCATCCATGCGTTGAATATTGCTGCCACATCTGATCTGCTGCATCTGCTATATATTTAGATATTCTTGATAAAACACAATGAAGAATCTGCAATGTTATTAGCCCTGACCTGACATCTCAGCTCCAACCACATTCTCATCGCCGTAATATGGCTTCCCTGTGCCTTTTCTATAAATATTTCCAAGGTAATTGTTCACATGAACTCTCCTTTATGGCACGTAAACTTTAAACGCAGTACTAGACGGGCGGCAAAGGCTCATCATTTTACAGTTGCAATGGCTAGATGTAACTGTATTTTCTATGATATCTGCTTCTTCTCTCATTCTTCTCACTTCTAGAACTCTCTTCTGGCGTCTTGCTTTCCAATCAGTCAAATTTGATCTTCAAAAATTTAAATGCAATGTCAAATGTGTTTTTAATTCCTGTTCTCTCTCCTTAATGGTTTTTTTTTCTCGTATTCTCTCACACTCAGTAACCTCTTGCGTCTTAGTAACTTTATTGCCTTGCTTGTATGAAATGATTAAAAACATTTTTGTAACTACAACCTAATTGTAATAGTACTTAAATACAGTAATCATTTGTTGAGGTCACAGGTAATCTAATTATATATATATATATATATATATATATATATATATATATATTACAAATGTATATTTGTCTAAATCTTGCTCCTCTTTCAACTACGATCTTCAAAAATCTAAATACATCGTCAATTGTCAACTTCTGTCCCCTTGAACCTTGTTCTTTTACTGTCCCTCCAACACACTCTCTATCTTCAATAACGTTTTCTCGATTTATTTTTACTTTCAATAACCCCTTGCGTCTTAATGGCTTTATCGCCTTGCTTGAGGTGAAATGATTACAAACAATCTGTATTCACTTTATTTAATTTTTGGCGTTTTTACACACATGTGCAGATGTAAAAATACACAACTAAATGAAAGTAATACGTAATGGTATGCTCTCTTTCCTGTTGATTTCGATAAAGTGAATATATCAGAGAAATAAAGAAAAAAAAAATGGGATATGTTGTTGCAAGCCATAGATAGTGAATTTGTTCCCCGGCATGCACTCCATGATTTTGGGCTTATGTCAAAGTTGATGTTGAATTTATTTCAATTTCATGAATAGACTCGCTTTCTATTTCGATATATTTATGTTTTAAAATGTATTTTACTGATTCGAAAACGATTTTTTTTAATTTCTTCTTTTTTTTTTAAATTTCAGATATAACAATTAGCAAAGGGACCGTTGGCCGAATTCAGTAAAAAGAAGAAAAAAAAACAGAAAAAGTAAAGGCTTAAAAAAATCACTTAAAAAAAACACTCCGATCATCTTAGCAAAGAAATATGTTGCTATTGCTAATAATGTCTACGCTTCCCGGCTGTTTCTGCGTTGACTTTACCTACCATGTAGAAGAAGGGAAAAATCCGGGTACTTTAGTTGGAGACATTGCTACTGACACGAACATGATGAACAAAGTTGATGTTCAAGATCAGAACGGGATTCTTTTCACTTTGCTGCAGCAGCAAAACGTAACCGGAAATTCGCCACTGTTCCGAGTCTCCAACACAGGCAAACTCTACACGGCGCAGACGCTGGATGCTGAATATTTGTGTCGGCGAAAGATAGAATGTTTTAAAATGGTGGACATTGCCGTGCGACGCACAGAAACATTTCTCTCTATATACGAAATCAAAGTCATCATAGAAGATGTCAATGACCATCAACCCGAATTTCCTGTCGAACGGGTTAACATAGAATTTTCTGAAAATGATGCCATAGGGACAAAACTAGCCATTCCCAATGCAGTGGATAGAGACGTGGGGGTTCTCAATTCCAAAATAACTTATCTGTTAAAAAACAACGAAAACGAACCTTTTACGTTATTCGTTTCTAAAAGCGTAGTAGGGACGTCTCAGCTAGCAATAAACTTGGACGAAAGACTTGACCGTGAGATTCAAGATGTGTACATGATCCAGGTGATAGCTAAGGATGGAGGATCGCCTCCAAGACAGAGTGTTCTTGACGTTCGTATATCTGTTTCAGATGTCAACGACAAAGTCCCAATATTCTCGCAAAACATCTATAACGTCTCAATCGAGAACAACCACGATAGAGCCATACCTGTCGCCATCGTGTTTGCTACCGATATGGATTCGGGAAAAAACGGGGGTATTAGTTATCACTTCAGTTCTGAGACGTCAGACCTTGCCAAAATGCTTTTTAAGCTGAACGAGGAAACCGGCGAAATATTTCTTCATAAAAAGTTTGAATTAGGACGAGAGCTGACCTACAAGCTGTATATCAAGGCCATTGATGGAGGCAGCCCGCCTCTGAGCTCCCTAGCGATGGTTCAGGTCAATGTGATCAACCAGCAGAACAACGCCCCAACCATCGACGTAAATTTCGTGTCGGCGTCTAGAGATAACACGGCCACCATTTCCGAAGACATTAAGGTGGGTAGCTTTATTGCTTTCGTGAAGGTCACTGACCACGATGCCGGGCAGAATGGTGAAATCAGTTGCATCCTGCACCATGACAAATTCCAGTTGCAAAATTTTGGTAACAAAAAGTACAAAGTTACCGTGAAAAACCCAGTAGACAGGGAAACGGAGGATCATCATGACATCACCATCAGCTGCCAGGACAAGGGGACGCCGCCTTTGTATTGTGAAAGTACATTCTCGATCCAAGTCATGGATGTTAACGACGAGAAGCCGCAAATCTCGAAAGAAACGTTCAAATTCTCGATCTTCGAAAATCAAAAGTCGAAGATCCCTGTAGGGATTATAAATGCTACTGATCCAGACCAGGGATCGGGAGGCAAGTTTACCTATTCGCTGATGACCAACAGCAAACAATTCCTGCCATTTCAGATCAACGATGTCGGGCTGATCTCTACAATCATGTCTTTGGATCATGAGTTCCAGGACATTTACCGATTCCAAGTGATAGTCAAAGACAACGGTATACCGTCATTGAACAACACAGTGAACGTGATCGTTGAAGTGAGAGACGAGAATGACAACGCCCCCTATTTTACCTTCCCCAGTATTAACCCTTTTACCATAGACGTCCTTTACTATCCGCACCACACCAAAAACATTACAGTTTTGAAAGCATCCGACAGCGATAGCCGAGAAAACGCTTTCTTAAAATATGAAATAATCAGTGGTAACGACAAACAACTCTTCACTATCAACCATTACACCGGTCTGCTGTCATTCACACACGTAGTCACACCGCAAGACGCCGGTTCCTATGAACTAGAGTTCGTGGTCAAAGATAGCGGTAACCCGATCCTCTCTGCCACGACAACCATGTTCGTGGCGCTGACCGTCAGCAACAAGACTTCGGACATGTTGAATACTGTCCACGTACAAACGGAGGATACGATCGATCTCAACCTGGCGATCGTTATCGTTCTGGTGGCCGTGACTCTATCTGTGATCATTACAGCCGCCCTGTCGATATGTATACTTCGATGCAATAATCACAGAAACGTTCCATCGTGTGAAGACGGTATGAACACATCTCAGCGGTGCGTCAGCGAGCAGAGGCACCTCATGTGTCCCTCCTATCAAGGGACTTACTGGTCTGATGCTCCCGTTGCTATAACAACGGACTCATTCAAAACCAGTAACACCCAAGCCAAGGGGACGAGAAGGGAATCTCACCCCGGGTGTGACTTGAGTAACAAACTTAAAGATTCGCCACCTGCCCTCAAGCCACGGTCATCTGCAGAAAGCAGCCGTCAGGTAAGTGAAGGTAGATATTGATTTCATTATTTCACTTTTTATTATTTTTTAGGTGTTTTTCTTTCTTTTTCCGTTACTGTATAAGAGTTAGTTAATTATTTAATATTTGATTTGTGCTATATTGCGTAAGCGTTTATTTTGACGCAAGGAGCTGTTGGAAGTGAAAGAGAAAGAAAAGACTTTTTAGAAGGAATCAGAAACCCAACCCTAAACTGAAAACAAGACAAACCTCTACTTCTGTTCAAGAGACCGGGGCATAAAGAATTAAAAAAAAGACATAAAATAATAAAGTGTTTTATACAACATTTTATTAATATTATGCTTAATATTTTAAAGAAAACACTTTATTTTTATCACTTATCCATTTTAGAAATCGATCATTACAATCCAAGATTACAATCATAGCATTTTTACCTGTTCGTAACATGCATGCACACATACACATACATACATGAAAAAAAGGGATTATTTTACATTGATATTCACCCTGTACAAGGCCCAAGAGCCACTCGAGGTAGAGGGTTACAGAGTAAAAAGCACAATTTATGGGGAGATAATAGTTAGCCATAGACTTGAACAGGTTAAGATTGTAGTAATCGATAAAGCATCCTCTTGGGAGTCGGTTCCACAAAACAGTGATTCATCGGAAGAAGCTGCTTGAGTGGAAGTTACGTCTCACCAGAGGAATAAAAACGAGCACGGTTTGCTACAATGTTCGTGGTATGGCGGGTCTTAGCCATGAAGATTAAAACTGGTGTATCATGTTAATGGTACATTTGCAAAGGATGTGCAGGTAGAGTACCTGACAGCGGCCTGGAAAATGAAATCAGCATGCTGAGTTCAAATTCCAAACGAATTTGTTACATTCACTTTCGCACAAATACCCTTGGAAAAGCATGAATCCATTTTTTCTCCCCCACCACCAGCTATAGGTTAAACTGAAGAGCAGACTATTCTTCATGCTCTCTTTCCTTGATTGCCGACCAGTCTAGGAGAAAGACAATTTCTGAATTCAAGACCATGTGAGATAATTAAATAATTTCGCAATGAATCTCCAACTGCAGACCACCATACAGTATTTACTACTGTATTTATGTGAATGGGGACATACCGATTATCATCCATACGTATGCTACAACAATAATTATAGAGAACAAATTTAGAATATAAACAAAGAAGGATAGACATAATAAAGATACACCTATTAATGATAGTACTAAAATTATTAATTATACTATAGATGATGTATACATTAGTAAGACAATCATACATATAACCATTTCACCCCAAGACATAGGTGATTATGGCTCTCCACAGATTCCTTTTCTTTATTATTTATGAATTTTTGTGATTACTTTAGAAAAATAATATAGTAGTTTTCCATTGCCTTATAAAAGCTATGTCCCTTTAGGAAGTAAGCAATCATGGCTCTACCCAGAAATCCTTTTCTTTATTATCTGTGACTTGCCATAACTTCTTGAAAAAGATAGTGCAATGGTTTCCATTGCCTTCTCCAGGGTTTTGAATTTCATAGTTAGACAACTTGGAATTCAATTTGTTCTAGACTGGCTGCCATCCAAGTCTTGAAAAACTAACCTACTATATTATTTAATCCATAGCTGGTTGAATGGAGCAGAAGAGATAAATTCATCCATTTCTCATTCTCATTTCTCATTCATTAAGAATTTTTGTGAAAGTGAACACAAAGACTAGACAGGAATTTGAACTTGGCTCACCAATTCCATCTTCTACACCATTATGCTACTCATATATCATTTAATGCCTAGGCATTTAACAGTGTTTGTAATATCAATATCCCAATAGGGGCATAATGCTTGACAGAATATCATGTTTGCATCCTAAGTCAAAGGAACATGATTCCATCAATCACAGGTATTTTTTTAATCATTTCACCCCAAGCAAGGCAATAAATCTGCTAAGACATGGGAGGTGAAAGAATATGAGAAAAATAAAAGCACTATTAAGGAGAGAGAACAATAAAAGAACAGGAATTAAGAAGACAAAAGCTAACAATTGAAATTGCATTTACATTTTTGATGATCAAACTTGACTGGAAAACAAGAAGTTGGGAGAGAGTTCTACAAATGAGAAGTGTGATAGAAGAAACTGTTAGTATAGAACTTATGTGGTTACATGAAGACATTTTAGCTGTAAAAGGATGCAACCTTGCTGCCAATCTAGTACTTTGCTTAAATACATAAAGTCTAGGTACCATAACGAAAATATGTAATGTTATATTACCATGGCTATGGTCCTGACTCCTCCCATCAAATGTTAAGAAAGAATAATATCACAAGGGGAAACGAAAAATTATGACAGTTTAAATATCTGGGAAATGTTTTAACAGAGGATGAAAAGTGCAACATCTAAATTTAAAGACGCATTGGCATCACAAAAGATGCTACACAAAGAATTAAGAAATGGAAAAGTTTTGTTAGAATCACAGAAAAGAGTACCTGTTACATAACATCAGTTATCCAGCTTTAATCTGCAAAAACTTAAATGCAATGTCAATCACTATCTACTGATTACTCTTTTCTCTTTTCCACTCATTATTAATGTTTCTGTTCCTAATTCTTCCACACCCTGTAACCCCTTGTGTTTTAGTGGCTCTACTGCCTTGCATGGGGGTGATACTGAAAAAAAAAATGGCAGTGAATGCTGAACAATCTCCTCACAGATGAAGAAGAGACTTGAAGCAACAGAAATGTGGTTCTACAGAATTCTGAGAATACCATGTGCAACAATGAAGTTTTGAAAAATATTGATTTGAGTTTTTCTTTTTATTTCTTGTCTGGATAATCAAAATTGAAAATCATGGCTAATTGAGAAAGTACTGAATGTGTGAGCAACAACAAAGTTTTAGAGAAAATGGAAACACAAAGGATGCTTATAATTAACATCAGGAAGTGACAGTTGAAATTTCTAGGGCACATAATGAGGAAAGATTCTTCTTTGGGTCAATGCCTTTTGTCCTCAAGGACACATGGCACAGTGGATAAAGGCATTGGTTAGATCCAGTGACAGATCCAAAGAAGGTGAGTTCAATACCTGGTTAAGGCAGTGGAGAACTTTCAGAGGGAAAATTAGCAGGAGATAACTGATAACTGACATCCCTCAAAACATGGCACGTGGAACTAGAACAGTCTACCCCAGTGATCGAAATAAAGGGTTCAGTTCGAAATTCCAACCACCTGAAGAAGGCCGGAGCGTACAGCGGCCGAAACGTGACAAATATGGCGACAAAGATGAGGACAATAGTCCGACTAATGTAAATACTGTCATATGTATCAATGTTCATTTTTTTGTGCCCTGTGTATGTAAAGTAACTGCATAAAGTAATTAGTCACCTAAAAGTAAAGCAAAACAGATTTGATTTGTTCCAGGTAAATTTCCAATGAAAAAATACTATAAATACTAGAAAATATATTTGAAAAGAAAAATTGTTCAGTGAAATATTTTTTTTTCAATTACTTGTCTGGAAATTTGTAATAAAAGGGAAAATATAGTCTTATACAAAATGGTTACAAACACTGTTTTTTATTATTTTACAACATGCAAGGTAATAAAGCCACTAAGACACGGGGCATTAGTGAGCATGAAAGAATATAAAAAAGAAAAAACATTATTAAGGCACGAGAACAATAATAGAACAGGAATTAACAGATGATAATGATTGACACTGCATTTAAATTTTTGAAGATAAAAATTGACAAGAAAGCAAGAAGCTGGAAGAGAGTTCCACAAGCAAGAAATGCAAGAGAAGAAACTTAATATAGAAGTTACAGTTACATCTAGCATTTCAACTGTAAAATGATGAGACCTAGCTGCCAATCAAGTACTGCACTTATTTTTCATAAAGTCTAGGTACCATCAAAGAAAGTTCATCAAAACAAATACCATGAAAATATTTATAGAAAAGGCACATGGTAGCTTCATCGGTAACAGTGAGAAAGTGACTGAAGCAGAGATGTCAGGGAAGGACCAATGATATTGCAGATTTTTCACTGAATTTTATCAAGGATTTTAAAATATATAGCAGGGGCACCAAACAATATATGGCAGTAGTATTCAAAGCATGGATGAATGGTAGACTTACAAATATGTAAGAGAGATTTGTGTGAGAAAAATTTCTAGTACAACACAATGAACAACTTTTCTAGCAACAGACCTAGTAGCTGATTCAATAGAATCTTTCTACTTCAGGTCAGCAGAAAACATTAGCTCGAGAAGGTGCAATGAGTCACTCTGCTGGAGATTAGCATCAGCCATGCTGACAGAAGGGAGAAAGTGATCTCTCAGACAATTAATAGAGGGTAGATTCATTTTGGGGACATTAAAATAAACAAGCTATTCCTTGCCCCAGCTAACAACAGACTAGGTCATATTTGAGAAGGATGAGTTCTTAAAGACTCGTACTAAAAAATGAAATTCCAACAAGTAGTGTGGAGTTTTGAGAGAACAGGAGCCAGTTCAGGAGCACATTTCTTAAGGACTATTGACAGAAGGGAGAAAGTGATCTCTCAGACAATTAATAGAGGGTAGATTCATTTTGAGGACATTAAAATAAACAAGCTATTCCTTGCCCCAGCTAACAACAGACTAGGTCATATTTGAGAAGGATGAGTGAGATCTTAAAGACTCTTACTAAAAAATGGAATTCCAACAAGTATTGTGGAGTTTAGAGAGAACAGGAGCCAGTTCAGGAGCACATTTCTTAAGGACTATTGCAGATCAAGAAAAATATTTCCAAATAATAGAAAAAAGGTAGATCATCTTTTTGCCATGAGGAACAAAATTACATTAAAACTTCTCATGGACCCAATAACTATACATATCAAATTTGTTTAAACTACACCATGTCATTTGGTCGATGGATAGCAAATTAACTCTTCCCAATCTCTCATTGTAGTAGATGTCAGTTTATGAGTTAAAAACTAGGATTCTGAATGCCTATTTTCTAGGTAGACAAGCACTTT